GCTTTCGATAATGTGTGGCGCGACCTTGAAAAACAGCGCCTGGATTTTACTTCTGTTGAATTAATGAGTGAATGTATTCAATATTGTGACAATATACTACACATTTCCCACTAAAAGTGTAATAATAATGAGTTGATTCCTTATAGTTTTTGTTTGCAAAGCCGTTAAAAAAGGTTGAAAGGCAGTGAGACGGGGAAAGGAATACAATCCCCAAGATGCTATGCTGTTTTTCGTGATCTGATAACGCTTCCGATAACGTGCGACCGTGAAAAACAGCGCCTCGTTTTTACTTCTGTTGTATTGAATGTAGTAGGCTACACATTTCCCACTAAAAGTGTAATAATAATGAGTTGATTCCTTATAGTTTTTGTTTGCAAAGCCGTTAAAAAAGGTTGAAAGGCAGTGAGACGGGGAAAGGAATACAATCCCCAAGATGCTATGCTGTTTTTCGTGATCTGATAACGCTTCCGATAACGTGCGACCGTGAAAAACAGCGCCTCGTTTTTACTTCTGTTGTATTGAATGTAGTAGGCTACACATTTCCCACTAGAAGTGAAATAATACTTCATAATTTATGTTGACTGCAAAAAAAGAGAGTTTGGAGCGCGCCTCGTAACCGGAAATGACGCCTCCCTTCCGATGTTAAGTCGCTCAGTTTTCCCGCGGTTTGAGGCTGTGGAGATCAACAGTAGACCGTGCACAGATTTGTTTTCACTGAACACACTCAATGTATTAGCTTTTAAAGGCATTGAACTTGTCGTTTCCATTAAAACAAAGCCCATTTTCTCCAGGGAAAAAAGGAAGGCTGTGATTTCACATGGTGTTTCTCAATTTTGATACAAATACGATTATTATTGATATTTGTGGCATGAAATGGGCTTGATAAATATTGATTTTCCCCTCACCTCCTCTCCCGTCCTTGAGGTAACGGCCCTGGCTCTGTCTCTCTCCATATATACGCTATGAGGCGTACAATCCATCCTGACGCTGATTTTGCGGAGGGCAAACGCATGGCCCTTGAAATAGACTGTGAGTCTTGGCTGGAAGATGCCAGGGTAAGTTGAAGTTTTTCAATTTATTGGTTAATTGTAAATTTGCAGATTCTGACATGAGTTTGTAAGAATTTCCTATAGTTGTTAAGCATATTGCAAGGAGTAGAGGGCTTCCATAAACTATGAATAATTTACTGAAATGGGTGTGAACAGAAATCCTGAAATTATTCACACAATTTTCAATGTGCAACTTTCATAGAAGGTGTTTGAAGAGCACAGTCGTACTGCCCCAACAGCAGCACCTAAAAGGGTTCAGCAAGCCAAGGGTGTAGGCAAGCCAAGGGGTAGGCGTGGAGGACGCCCCAAAGGCTCAGCTGCAGGTATAGTCAATTCAGTAACTCTAATAATTATTTGTCATTTGAAGTTATAGGATTAGAATGGTGAAATGCAGTATTAATCCACATCCTATCCAGCAGTGTGAGTCTTTTCTGTACAGTTTTCCTTATTAAACTCTGTGTTTGGTGGTAACATTGTGTAACATGCTTTTGAGGTAGTTTTCTCCAGTGTGTGTTAAAGGTTTTATGTGTATAATTTATATGAAGCCTCCGCACTTAATACGGCCCTGGTCCAATAATCATAGTGAACATGTGGCAGGAATGTTACTTTCTGAGGCTGTATGTTGCTAACATAAACTATGTTAAGACACTGCCCTAGATAGATAGACAGATTCTTTATTCATCCCCAAGGTTATTTACTTCTGCAGTGTTTTACAGACTTACTGTGTATAATCTGTGGTCTGTCCTATAGTGGTACCTTTAGAGACTGCCAACTGTTTTGCTGAAGAGCCTCAATCCAGTGAGGACCCTCAAGTGGAATTTGGTAAGATGTACAGTAGTTTCTTTTCTGTACACATACAGTATACCCTCAGGATGTCATAAAATATAAGTTTAGACAGTTCCCACTCACCCTCCTATAGGCATCCCTAATACCTTTCTAGGTTCACTATGGGGCCCATTGGGGCTTCCAGTATAGAATAATTGTC